AGGGTGGATCTTGCAGGAGGTGAGAATTAAATGGGAGCACTTCAGGCCTTCCAGAGCAGGGAGAAGTTTCCCCACCATTAGCTAAAAGCAGTCTGAAGGAAGTGCTGCTGTACCAAAGATTTTGAACAATCCATTTGAAAATTACTTGGTATATTTCTTACTCCTGGAGCACTGAAGGAGACCTGACCTTTAAGTAGCTGAGAGAAACTCAGCTCATTCTCACTGTTTCAAGGCTGCTGAAAAATGAGTTCTAGCAACAGTTACCAAGTCACACACACAGTTTGGGGATTAAACACCTGCAAGTTTCTGTGCTTAGAAACAAAAAATATGAAACTGTACACAATAACTGTAATGTTATAATGCAATAAAACTGTAAGTGGAAAAGAAACTGTAACAGAATTGAAAAATATTGCCTGTGTGACTTGCCTACTTCATGTACAGAGAATTTAGCTCCTTATTCACCTGCTGCCTAATGCTATGGCTCAAATGGGTCTGAAACATGGTACCTAAAACAACCTTTTGGAAGAGTCTGTGAATCAAACCCACAGAGCTGTTCACACTTAGTCACACCATTTTACAACAGAAGTGAGTCATTTTTAGCACCACAAAACTACCACTCCACCTTTAACCTTCGCAGCCTGAGCCAAAACACCAACTTTTTCTGAATGCTGAAACTAACAGATTTGAGATACATAAATGCCACATTTGCTTTAGTGCCCCAAAAGCTTAGGAAACTCTGCACTGGAAGAGATTGCCCAGAGAGGCTGTGGATTCTCCCTCACTGGAGGCACTCAAGGACTGTGTGGATGGAATCCTGTGCCATGTGCTCTGTGATGGTCCTGCTTGAGCAGGGACCAGCTGACCCACTGTGGTCCCTTCCAACCTGATTCATTCTGTGTCTGTGAAATTTCCACCCCTCAGTCCCACTCCTCCAACTGCGAGGCCCAGGGGTAAACCACATCACTATTGGGGATTTTTACAACTATTTTGAATGTAGATCAGCTTGGGCACCAGTCACAGCTCCATCCCATCCACAGCCAGCAGCAGCACAGGCACAGATAAATCTACAGGGATAACCAAGTGACCTTGGACAACTTTACCAGCTTCTCCCTGCAGCACACAGGTACCAGCTCCCCTCACTCCCTCAGCCTTACTGGTTAGCATAATTAAGTTCGTAATTGAATCAGCTCTTGGTGTGTATTTAACTTCAAGTTTGCTATTTCGGTTTCAGACTTGCAACACTTGTGTATCTAAACAGGCATCTGTTTCCCCAACAGCAGCTGGGCTAATAAAAGGGACTATCTCCACTATAAATCTTGCCCTGCTTCACTTCAAACAACTTCTGGCTGGAGCTGCCACACTGTTCTTGTCTCAAACACATCAATAGCACTTTCCAAACTTCATTTAAAACCATATTTTAACTCAGGTCGGTAAAACTAGCTTGAACTCAGCCACCACTGCCAAGCCTGAAGGTATTCATGAAAAAGAGGAGGCAAACACGAGGTTTCTATGCTCAAAATTACGTCAATGTGCAGCATTCACTTTGGTGCTGTGGAATCCGTGGAATGCAAACCTGTAACCTTTAGCTGCAGTGGGTGAGAGGAGCAGGGAAATGACCCATCCCGGGAAGTATGCAGAGCTTCAGGACTGCAAACTCCTCCAGGACACAGGCGATTTCAAACCAGGAGCGCACAA